GGTGTAGAAAGAACGTATCAATGTAGAGAGCAGAACCTTGCTTCTCCAATTAAAACAAACTATAAACTAGCCTTATCAATCTTTCTTGGATAGTCTGCCAGCGTGCTCTGCGAAGTCCTTCCATCCTCATCCGCCTGGGTGGAAAGGAAGGGTGGCACGGGGCACACTAGCAGGCGGTTCTGGTGACTGGGCTCTGTTCCCTTTCTGCTGCTGGTAGTAGGCGTCTTTTCTGGCGGCTGCAGCCGCTTCATGGGGGAGGAAAGAGACGCCTGCCTCTTCTTGAAGCCCTAAACTGAGCATTTGGGCAACCATGTCTATTCTTCTCCGGAATGGTGTATTCTTTACAATAGTAAGCATCAGAGACTCCGGGACCTCCACAGGTCACACCACCGCCCTGGTAAGATCTGTAGTTACACTCAATATGCGAACCAGCCGGCACGCTCACATATAGGAATCACAGATCACACATTTGATAGCCACACCAGCCTGCTTGCCAGAAAGTCAGATCGCTTAACACCAGGATTTCATTAGCTTTTTTTTTCCTTTTCTTTTTCTTTTTTTGGTCTTTTTGAGACAGGGTCTCCCTGTAGCACCAGCTGGTCTGGAACTCACTATGTAGACCAGGCTGGCCTTGAACTCAGAGGGATCCGCCTGCCTCTGCCTCCCGAGTGCCGGGCTTAAAGGCCTGCGCTACCACGCCCAGCTTTATTATTTTTATTTTATGTGTATGAGTGTAATGCTTGCAGGTAGGTAGGTGCACCAAGTGTCGTGCAATGCCCGCAGAGGTCAGAAGGGGGCTTCGGATCCTTTGTAACGAGTTACAGATGATGGTTAGCTGCCATGTGGGTGCCGGGAATCGAGTCCTGGCCTCTGCAGTAGCAACTAGTGCTCTTTAACCACTGAACCATCTCTCCAGCCCCTACTAGCTAATGATTTTAAGTATATTTTAGCCATTTGTTTATTTTGTTCTCAGTTTTTATTTTGCAGTTTGCTTTGTGGGTGAAGGGTGACTATGAGAACCTTTCCCATCCTATTCTGCAGTTGTTCTGCCTTGAGGTTTTTTGTTTGTTTGTTTTGGTTGAGACAGGATTTCCCTTGTAGCCTCAGCCTGGGAACTCTTGTAGCCCAGGGCTACTACCCTTGATCTCACAGAACTCTGCTTGCCTCTGCCTCCCAATTTCTGGGAGCTAAGGGGTATACCACCACACCTGGTTTCTGCCTCTGAGGTTTCTATATATACGTGTGTGTGTATTTTAATTTTATGCATGTGTTATTACCTGCATGTATGTAAGTGCACCTGTGTCTTGCAATACCTGGGGAGGTCAGAAAAGGGTGTTGGATTCCCCTGGAACTGGAGTTATGGACAGTTGTTAGCCACCGTGTGGGTGCTAGGATCCATGTGGGTGCAGGGAACCAAACCCAGGCCCTCTGTAAGAGCAGCCAGTGCTCTTAACGGCTGAGCCATCTCTTCAGCCCTGTGGCTCTGAGTTTTGAGGAATGATTTTTTTTAATATTTTATTTTTATTTTATGTGTATTTGTGTATTGCCTGCACGTAGGTAAGTGCACCCATGTCATGCAATGCCCGCAGAGGACAGAAGAGGCCATCGGATCCCCTGGAACTGGAGTTATGGACAGTTGTTAGCTGCTATGTGGATGCTGGGATTCGAACCCTGTTCTTCTGCAAGAACAACCAATGTTCTTAACCACTGAGCCATCTCTCCAGCCCCGTTGAGGAATGATTTAAAAAAGAAAGAATACCGTCTTAGCTAATTATTCAAGGTGTTTGTCAAGAACAATGGCTTATGGTTTTATGCCATCACTGGGCCAGGCAAGCATCCATCTATTAGTTTGCTAAATACTATTAATAAATACTTCAGCTAAGTATGGTGACACATGCCTGTAATGCAGTAGTCATAAGACTGAGGCAGGAGGATTGCCCAGAGTTTGAGGCCAACTTGTCTACATAGGTGTTCCAAGTCAGCCTAAGCCAGGAGTGAGACACTGTCTCAACAAACAAAAAGTACTTTTCCAGTTGACATACTGTAAAAGAAGTTAATTAAAAGTCAGGCCAGGAGTGGTAGCGCACGTCTTTGATCCCAGCACTTGGGAGGCAGAGGCAGGCAGATCTCTGTGAGTTCAAGGCCAGCCTGGTCTACATAGTGAGTTCCAGGACAGCTAGGGCTACAGGGAGACCCTGCTTCAAAAAGACAAAGAAAAAAAAAAAAAAGAACACTGGCTGTTCTTGCAGAAGACCCGGGTTCAAATCCCAGCACCCACATGGCAGTTAACAACTGTCTATAACTCCAGTTCCAGGAGATCCAACGGCCTCTTCTGTCCGAGAGCATTGCACAACACGGGTGCACTTACCTACATGCAGGCAATACACGCATACACATAAAATAAAAATTAAAAAAAAAAAAAAAAGAAGAGAAATACTCTTTTAAAAACAAAAGTCTTAGGTCAATCAGACTTTAAATCCCATCTAGGTACCTGCTCTAGGCAAAACACACTGCCCAGGGCAAAGGCAAAATTGAAGGAAAAACCACAGGGTCCTGACCTCAGGAGCTCCAAGCCAAATTTAGGAGGAAGAGGGGGACCCAAAGATTAGAACAAGACTTTATGAGGTTTTGGGTGTAGTTCAGTGGTTAGAGCACGTGCTTAGGTTGGACCAGGCACTGGGCTAGTCTCATAGCACTTGGAAGGTAGTTCTGAGGGAGAAGGTGTCATTCAAGGAGGGTACCTAGAGACAGGAGGCTACTGTGGATAATGGGTGATGAGGACACCTGTTCCTGATCATTAAAACTGGGAAGATCTATAACACAGATGTCAAGTTCTGGGGGGAACTGTGTACAAGGTGGTAGACAATGGGGTCATGTGTCGGAGAAATGTCAGTAGGAGGGCCTTACAAGTTGTGACACACACACCCCAAAATACCTTGTGAATTTTGGTGTATGTTATTATTTGGGACAGGGGAGATGGCTCTCTGTTTACTACCTATTTTCCAAAAAGTACTGTAAATTGCAGTTCTGATGGGGTGTGGTGGCCCATTCCTGTAATCCCAGTGTTCCAGAATCTCAAGGATTTTTCCAGACCAGCCAGGTTATAGAGGTCTTTTACACACACACACACACACACACACACACACAGAAAAAAAAACAAAACCTTAAATTTTATGCTCATATGGTGTGGTGGCACACGCCTTTAATCCCTCCGCAGTCAGATCTTTGTGAGTTCGAGGCTAGCCTGGTCTACATAGCAAGTTCCAGGACAGCTGGGGCTATAGGGAGACCCTGTCTCAAAAGGACAAAAAAAGTTTTTTTTTAAATTTTATTAGGAAGTATCAGTTTTCCTTAGGAGTCTAGTGCTGGGTAGGTTGACCATGCTCCAGTGGATTGCAGGGGTCTCTCCCTCTCTTCGTGGGTCATTGGCCACCAGTCCACGAGGGCAGGGGGAGCAGAAGCAGCGAACGGAGTCAGGATGGCCAGTGAGCACTGACGGAAGAAAGCCCTTCCGGGGAGGCTGGTTTCATGGGGCAGTGAAACAGCAGTGATACACCAGACAGTGAAACAGCTCCTTTTATTCAGTGGGAGAACTAGAGAATTTATAGTGTGGAGGCAGTAGCAAAAGCCTCAGTTGATAGGTTCTCATAGTAGGCTTTATTTACATGTGGCAGTGGGCTCCTATCTTCCAGACTATCAGGCAATGCCTGATTATCATATAGAAAAAACCTGGGGGTAGTTTTTACTCCAGGTAACTATGCCAAAGGTCATGTTCCAAATAAGATCAGGCATCCGTGCTTGGTGGCACTTTCCAGGTAAGCCAGGAAGAGAGCAGGAGGCCCCCTGCTGAAAAGGGGAGTCCTTCCATTTGGCGCCGAGCCCCTTAGGGCTATCCGGACATGGAGAACTACAACCCTAACAGCAGGGTTTCCCAACAGTGGATGACCCTACACCCATGTGTATATGGGCAGCACAAATTGGACTCAGAGGGTCATGAACATAAAAAAGAAAAAGGTGGGTGTGGAGGCACATGCCTTTAATCCCAGCACTCGGGAGGCAGATGCAAGCGGATCTCTGTGAGTTCAAGGCCAGCCTGGTCTACATAGTGAGTTCCAGGCCAGTTGGGTTTACAAGGAGACCCTGTCTCAAAAAGACAATACACATACACACACACACACACACACACACACACACACACACACACAAAGT